ACCGAGACGGACACAGTCATCTTGGTGTGAACAGTATAGTCACTCCAATGAAAAAGCCAAAATAAAAAGCTATATTTGTTCAAGGCCACGGTTGAGGCAATGTTTTCAATTTTAATTTCTTGTTTTTCGTGACCTCTTGTTTGTAAAATTACCTGAAACCTATCTTTCGTACAACTTAAAGCCCCAAATTCATCAATTACTTCCAATATTCTATTGTTTTGTAGCTTGCTTACATTAATTTTTGAAATAGATATCTGCTTTTGTGATAAAACTTGCGTAAAGTTGAAAAAAATTCACTATAAATAGATTAAAGAGTTGAATTCTTTGCAACATTGTCAGAACATTTGTTATTTTTTCTCTGAAAACCTATCTTTGAATGATATTTTCAAATCTTTCTTACGATCGATTATCACGTGCTGTATGGGGTTAATTCGAGATATTAGCTGCTACTTGGCGTGTATGTATCAAGCCATCAGTTGCCAACTTTAAAGTCTCAGGGATCTATTTTTCTCTGAAATTTTGAGATTTCTAATTCAGGCCACGAGCTTTACACGCATCAAATTAATCACGGTCCAATATTTTCTAATAAGTGCGGCGGTGCACCACATCATCAATCAAGTGGGGCGCCTGTTTAACGAGTGTAAAAAACGGTGCTTTTTTGTTAATCTGCGTCGGAGTTTACACATGTAAATGATAGCTCATATGGTTCAACGTAAAAAAGGGCGTTCGGCGGGGTGAATTGCGAATTTAATGCTTGGATGGATCAAACATGGAGGGTGTGGAGTAACAAGGATCTTCAAACGCGTCATGCTAACGCGCGGAACGCAAGAAAAACACATCTAACCCTTACTATTTTTCAATTTCATGTTTATTGCTATTTTTTACCCTTACAATTCCCTGCAGGAGAAGAAATTCTCGCGGGAAATGTCACGGGGCAATCCGAAGTTATCAGTCCGAAAAATTGATTTCAAGAATCATCTTTAAGTTGCTCAAGTTCTAGTTTTCCACGTTTAGTGTAAAATAGCCAAAATGATACTACAGTTTCATGTCCTAAACTCGTCTTTTCTCTCACGTTTCAATGTCGCCAAATTTTTTCGCGCAAATTGCATTTTTATTTATCAACTTTTTTTATTGACATTCCCATTTCATGGACATTTTGTGTTGGATGAACAGTGTCTATGGCCGTTTCATTATGGACATTTTCGGTAATTGAAAATTTCGTATTGGACATGTCCACCGGTCACCGGGAACTCTGGATGTCTCAAGAAGAATACCAACGAAGAAAATATCAATAAGATACGATGGAAGGGGCCCTGGGATATTATCTGTGTATAAACTAGGCACTGGCGGATCCAGCAAATTGGCAACATTGTTTACTCTCAATTTAAACCTATGGAAATATATCGATTCTTAGAGAGGCCAGGTGCTCCGATAAGAATCGATTATTTAACATAGGTTTAAATGGACGGAATTCGGTGTTGCCAAATTGCTGAATCCGCCTCTGGAACTAAGGTACGACCTTTTCCCGGGGACGGTCACAAATGTGTAAAATCATTCCTCTCGCCTGCCCAGAAAAAAGGTTTGGAATGATTAGAGGGAATCACAGTAGCGTAGATGAAAATAATTTTCGAGCTTTTCGCTGAGAAACTTAAGCGTGATGCGTGGCTCGGCTCCTCTTGAAACACGGATTTAATCAACACGTTCCAAGCGATCCGTGGTCGCGTGAGGCTTAATTAAGAGAAGTGAGGAGGTTACGGCTCTTTTCAGTCGAGAAATATCTATTCAAAGTTAATTGCTGATACTGGAGGGGGAGAGCTTGCTCCCAGAGCAGAAACCACTTCCGCCCTCGGGTAGAATCCATAAATAATCGATCAAAGGGCCACAGAACCTCTGCAATCTTCTTAATCCGACTGGAGAACTTCTCAATTTGAAGCACTTAACGCCCTTCCGGCCGTTTCTTTAAAGTGTTCCGAAAACGAGCGTTTGAATTCCAGGCAATCTTGAAGTTTATCGTAACGATTGTAAAGAGGAAACGTGTGTAAAAGCCTGAGTATCGATGGTTGAAGTCGAAAAATGCGTTTCCACTCTTTTTCTATCCTTCAAAAAAGATGTACTTATCCGTGATATTCACTGGTCGTTAGCCTGATTGGCCACATGATTTTCTCTCACCAGCGCTAGAATACCCAAGAGAGAGTAGCACATGCGTTTTACATAAAATCATTTCGAATCGTTAAATATATTTTTCGTCGATGTAGAGAGTTAAAACGCGCAAGGAACCAATTTTTGCCTCGCTTACAACTCATTCAGCAGATCGACTTATCAGTCGCCATAAACGATCAATATTAGTGACCCTAATGAAGAATTTTCGGTCATTTCAAGTCCCGAATATGTACAGAAAATGTTGAATTTACATTCTTTAAACATCACAGCGAGAAAAGAAACAACGTTTAAAGTCTAACCTGAAATTCTAGCCACAACGTGATACGACGTTGATAGTAACATTGTAACCATGATCGAGAGTGAAACATATGTTTTCTTAAATTTTCTCTTCTTTTATTTGTATCGTGGAATATTTTATCATCGTTCTTAATTCATTTCATGTTAATACTTTCCCCATGCCGTTGTATTTTACTAAGGCTCTCAAAGTCGTTCTTCGGCAAAAATATAGAGAAGCCTCTCACTTGAGCGTCCTTTGCACGGTTAGAAAAACAGGAGCGTTGGCAAAGTTTCCTCAATGTCGTTGAAAGCTTCTTTTCGGGACGAAATTCTCGGAAGAATTACCGGAAGTCTTCACGGCTCAAAAACACTACATTTAAGTTCCAAGTCTTTTCGGGATGTTTTCATAAGAAGCCCCTACTCCCATTTCCCTCGCCGCGAAGAAGAGTAAACTAGAATTACCGTTGTAAAACAATAAACACGTGAGTCCTGATACCTTAGACGGTATGATTACAGCTCTTTTTTTCTCTTTTCTCCCACTCGAAATAAAAGTGAAAAATTAAGGTTAAGCCGGAAAGCGACGCTTATTTGAGTTGCATCAATTTCATCCCGCCGCTCTTTATATTCATATTTCCAACCGCAGCCAAGTTCGATAATGCATGTTAACCCTCGCTGTTAGAGCGCCCCCTCCCTCGTTACTCCCCCTCCCTTTTGCGGCTGCTCCCCTTTTCCTCTATTTTCCTCTGTACTTTTGCTTTCTCATTTTCTCTTGTCGAGGGTCGGGGCTCAAAGCCGGGAGGAAATATAAGCAATTTTCACGACAGAAATGTGAAGAACAGAAAATAAGGCTCACATTTCATGAAAGGATACGTTTGTTGTCACTCCGCTTGCACCTTTTCGATGTGTGTGTGTGAAGGGGCGGAGAGGGGTTGAAATAGTTTTTGTATTCAAGTGCAGGGATGCTTGAACGGTTCGAGGATAAAATCACGCAGTTTTACAGCACGGAACGTGAAACCAGTCGAGGTTTTCCTAAAATCTTTCTTAAAATCAACTTGAGCTCTTTTAACTCTAAGCTATCTTTTGCAGTCTCAGAAAAATACACTAAAAGAAAAATGAAAAGAAAAAAGGACGAATCTTACACAACTCATACGGCCGCGTACTTGACATTGAGTATTGGCGTGCACCCATGATTAATCTCATTATTTCCGTGAGCAACTCCTCACGCGCAGTACTAGCGTCAATTGACGATTTTTTCATCGAGCAGCACGCTTTACTAATCTACCATCATGCTAAGGAAAAACGCTGTATGAGCCCTCAGGCGTTGCCAAATTTCTCCTGGCAAATCTTTAATTTTCAAGACTAGTTTTAAAGACTAGTTTTTCATAATTTTCCTAAAAAATAATCATTTTATCGAAGGAAATTCGGCAACTCTCGAATGTTCTTTCGGCGTTCTTCCTGAGCACGGCAGTAATAGTCTTGTGATCATATGATTTTCAGAAAACTTTCGCTTCTTAGTTCTATTAGTTGAATCAATTTTTATAATAATTAAAGTAAATTATTATCTCAGCATTTTACTGAATCGTCGATACGTATTTCACTCTTTCAGTTCCATTTATCAGATTGTCATATGTTTTGTCAAACGAAGTTGAGTTGGAAGGATGTTGCAAAAGATCTCAAGCACATCCCATTGCCCTGAAAAGGAAGACATAAAAGCTCACCAATATAAGTTAATTAAAAATTAGATTATGTTCCCTTTATGACCGAGGGATGCACAGAGATGTTTATCATTGACCTTATACAAATGATGATATTATCGGAACTTTATTGTTAGCACAGCTTCATGGAGGACTTTACTGATGAGTTAAACAATGCTGCAAGGGTAAATTTTTCCTATCAATGTTCAAAATCTGTTATTAAGCACATAAACTGCCCAAAAACCTCAACGTACAAAAATTATAATTGTAACAAGTTGACTCAATAATAACTGCTGCATGGACCTATTTATATTAAACGAAAATATTAATCGGAAGTAAGGAAATTACGAGTTTTAAGATGTGAAAACAGCATCAGCGAACTTCATTATGACATCTTTAACGTGTGTCCCAGTGATGTCATATTCGGATATACGTATGTATACGTATGATGCCGTCCAATGTTGTTTGATAACGTCATCATCAACAGGCAGAATGGTTGTCCCGATGACTTCATCAACTGGTGTAACGATGGCGTTATCAACGAATGTAGAGATGAAGTCATAAACGGGTGTCCCGATGACGTTCAACGTCTCGTCAACAGGTTTCCTGATGACGGTGTCAATGCACAATATGGAAATACAGCAAAGGAAAGGACACGCGTTGATGACGGCACAGCGATACAACTATTCGCGCTTGATTGATGTCCGTCTTGCATCTGTAAAATTGAAGGCGCGGTGGCGCGAGGCCATGAAAAAACAATTTTTGTTTTTATTCATTATTGGAGAGAACCTACACAAAAAAATAATTTTACATAAAAAATGAAGGAAATTGAGGAAACGACTTCAATTTTGGTGGATTTATTTGTTTCAGAGCCGTGCGAAAAGACAACATGCGCCCACGGGGCGCTGTGCTCGGCCGACGAGAGGGGCGATGCCCGTTGCCATTGCCCAGCGGAGTGCCCCGAGGGGGGCGGCCCCTCAGTTTGCGGCTCGGACGGCAACACGTATCGCAGTCTGTGTCACCTTCGATTGGCCGCTTGTCGCACGCAGAGGAGTATCCGGGTCCGATACTCCGGCCAATGTGGTGAGTTGTACTCCAATTCTATCTATGATTATTGCTCTAGGATCACTAGCGACAGTAAGAAATGGACTACATTTTGCAATTTGGTCTTATAGATTCTAGCCCGGTTTAAATACAACGTATTTACCATTAGTTTCCCTATGAACATAAGCGTTTTTCCAGGAAAGCCAGAATTTATAGTTCCAAATTGCAAAATGCAGTCCAAATGTACTACGTTTAGCAGAAAGGAACCAAGCCACATCAGCTAATGCCAAATTTAACGGCTGGGCATTTTTTTTTTTTTTTTACAGAAGAACGTTTGTGCGGATTCCTTCGAAAATGTTGTGGAATTTGCCTCGTACTAAGCAGAAAATTCACTGAAATTTGCACAAAAATTCGCACAACCGTTATCATGTAAAACATTGAACTGTCCAATTAAATGGCAATAGCTGATGTGGCTTGGTTTCTTTCTGCTTAACGCGGTCCAAATTAGACACCAAAGTACATGAGTTAGTCCACGTTTAAAACTACGACTCCTTAAAAAAATGAGAGCAGGAGTTGTTCTGCAAGTTTATCCTTTTTATGATAACTTTTAGTGTCTGTCTAAATATTTTGCGATCAATCCGCAAATTAGCTCGTTCATTAATACAAATATCTATATTTTTGAAACCTTTTGAAGAGGGAACATGTCTTTTGATGCTTTCATTCTTACTCCGTCTAGTGGATCATTTTCTAAGTAAAACTGCACAGGAACTTAATGTAGAGAGAAGACAATTTTTAAGTCACTTGCACGTTTGTTTATCTCGAGCGGACGCGTTAAGTGAGAGTAGAGTAACATCGCAGAGAAAGTATGGACACCTGCTACCATGATGGTTTCAAGGCTCAAGATCGACTGCAACTTTGGATTAGATGGCGGTTGTGTTGCCAACTTTTGATGGTTTCCACCTGCTGCACTTATTCCCAACGTTGCCACAAAATTGCATATTTTTAGAGTTTATTTTCCTAATATGACGCTAAACAATAGTTTGGTAACTGATAAAACACGTCCTTTCTTGTAAAGGAGTACATTTTACTTTGCCAGAAGCAGAAAATAAAACCGAGCTCTGTCACTTTAACCAACACCTTTTTTCTATATTCCTCTTTTTGTGACTTCCAAATAGCCTACTTATGATGCCAAAAGCAATAAATTCAGGTGCCCATGCTTCCTGTGGTAGAGCAGAGTATTTAAAGGTCATATGTTTCTCAAAACAAGGAGGCATGAAACTGGACGTCATGTCTCCTGATGCTTGCTGCATGAATATTGTACACAAATGTGTCGACCTTACATTTTAAGAAATTCTGTAAATTGCTGACTTTTTCAGCTCTAGATGAAATCATATTCCATTTTTCGACTACTACTCGTATTTCATTTCAAGTTCAACTTCTGCGCAAGGAAATCATAATGTCCTTATCATTCTTTTTTAGCATCTTCTGTGAATTTACTCTTTCTTAACTAAATCGGGATAAGGATATTCCTATCGTTGCCAATTTGACAATCAAAGAACGAGCTGTCATTTTTACCAGTAATGACGCACTTCTCGCGTACGCCAGTTTCTTTCGATCAAAAGGATACATACATAGCGTACTAAAAACAAAAAAATTGATGGTCAACCTTAAGTGTCCTGTGTCCCCGTTGAAAAATTCTATCAACGTTCCTGAAGTAAACACTGATCGAACATAATGAGGAGTTCCGATATTTTTCAGAAGTTCCAAAAACCCTTTTTGACTAAATCCAAAACTATCAGGTAAAAATCCTCCGAAAAAACTTCGTTCCTGATGAAAGTATAGGTAACAAATCGATGTTATGCAATAGAAATCCGGAAAAGTAAAAGCTATGGCTATACGATACCTGAAAGTTTCGAAAGTCGGAACTAATTCCGGGCAATAAAAACTTTAGCTAGAACGACTGGTCAAACGATCCATTACCTCCGAAAAATAGACCTTTCTTCGGTTTATTATTGATTGGTCGTTAGTGGTATCTCCGGACCACTCCGTCTCTATTTTACGCTCTCCGTCCCTCTCACGTCTGATTCAAGTGCAACTACGTGCAATCGGAGGTCATAAACTTTCGGAAGTTGTCTCCACTCGTTCGGACCATAATCCATGGTAAAACACAAAAAGTCAATTTTTCGATCAGCTTTGAGCTACATAAGAATTACAGCATTATGAAGTTCATCGCATAATGGACTTGTGCGGTTTTAACATGGACCTTTTAATGTGTAGCCGAGTGTCAGATTTATCGTGCCCATAAAACCGCAAATCAAAATTTTCGGTAGGGGTGCGTGTGACTCACCGCTCAGAAGGGATAGTAAATTGAAAGGGGATGTCAAAAAATTAAAGGGCGTTCAATTTGAAGGCACTGAAGCAAAAATTTCAGGAAGGCTGATATTCCCCTCTGCTACGAGGCTCTCCCTCGAGTTTGGGGTGTTAGTCGCCTCGCACTTGGCCTACCGATTGTTGAAGTTCGTTTCATGCATTTTAGAATTGATCAGAAGATGAGATAGAAATTGAGAATTTTATTGGATTACATCTTGCAATTAAGAACTACAATTTTTGGCTTATCGGTAAAAATGTCCATGTGCATAGGGAAACGAATGGTGCATACGCTGTTTCTAAGGTGAAATAATAATTGTAGGTCCTACTTGCAAAATGTACTTGAATAATTAGCAGATACTTAAATTACCTAAATTCTTTCCTCCCATTTCGTCGCTCCTCTGACGTAAGAGTGTATCTCAATTTCCACATAAGCTGTGCTCTCTGTATAATTCTATGCTTTCTGGAGTTCATGAAAAAATAAAGACATGCCCAATCTCACGTCAGAAGTATGCAGATTTGAACGGTTTTATAACCAGAATCAGCCTGACTAAATCAAACGTCACCTAGTTTTAACTCTATTTGTTTTTTTACCAGAACACGAAGCAACATTTTGACTTGAAATGGAAGTATATTTCTCATAATATGAGGAAAATGTATTATTTTCTAGTACTATAATTTTCTGTTAAAAAAATAAAATACGAGAGCAGTCTGGCAACACAAAATGAAGTCAGGCTGATTCTGTCAAATGTATACAATTTCTTCAGCTCCCTGTTCTTGCCTATTGATTACGGACAAATCAGTAAAGCTCACTGAAACTGAATCAATATTAAACACCAATTTATTTTGAGTAGCTAAATGAGGAAGCACACAAACTCTGAAAGTAAAAGTATTCACTATTACTGTGATATTGGTGAAGGATCTCAATCTACCCCGCTAATAATCTCACCCACTCCCAGTGGTGATTCTTGGAAGTCGGCAACTCTGTATTTCCTCCATCTAAATGTATGTAAAACGATCGATTCTTGGTGAGGCAGTTTGCCTGCCAATATTTTCAATGGATTTAAATTGAGGAAAAACAGTGTTCCCAACGTACAAAATCGCATATGTGCCCGCTTCACTTCCTTCTCGTGTTGGAATAATCCGGCAGGGCAGCCAACGTTTCCTGGGCTTCTCTCATTTTGGTCCATTCGTCTTGCTTCCTTTTAATGTAATCTTTCAGCTCACTAGATCCAACGAATGTGATAGCTTTGTCCCCCTTGTTGAAATACTTGCGATACTTCAATCCAAACAGCCGAAAGCGACAGAGCCACGTGTAATACTTGGCGGTATTCGGGCCGTACCTTTCGGTGATGAGAGACTTGAGTCGTTTGTCCACGAAGCAGGAACATTTAACTCCGAAGTAAATTTTCCCGACAGAGGCAATTTTCGGCTGGTTCAGCAGGTTTTCTTCCGCTGGGTCCTCCCAGTAGCCGAATATCCGCGAGCATCGGTTTTGGCACTTCTTCGGAGAGGTTATGAAGAATCCTCCCGTTGGAACTGCACGGAAGAAATAGTGAGTTACAAACGGAGAAATGAATTTTAGAGACCTCGCAATAACAATCTAAGCATTGCAATCGTGTGAGAAAAAATTAAGTTCGGAGGTCAACGCTAGTTTTCGCCGATGATGATTCATGATCAACGTAGGTGAATTTTTGCGAGTGGATTTTTTTGACTTTTTCGACCAAATCCTAATAAACAATTTTTTCCCAACCCAATTCACTAGTCTGTTGGGGTCATCAGCAACCAGTGTCTGAACCAAATTCAAACTTTCTGGACCCACCTCCAGAGGTAGGTCGAAAAATGGATGGGGGTAAACGGTTCCCCCCGAAACTTTGAAAAGCAACGATTTTTTGCAAAATGGCGGTGTTCTGTGTGACAAAAACAACTGAGTAACAACAACCGCGGTGAGGTGTTGCCGATGAAGTAAAGTGTAAAAAGTGCACATATTTTTGTGTATTGTGTTATAATTTGTACGATGGTTTATTATCATAGAGTAAGTATTGTTACATTGACCAATTGGCGTGCTTTTTTGATCCTAATCCGGAATTTGGCTCGTTTTCTTCAGGATTTGGTTGAAAATTAGATACTCGATTCTCATTGTTCCAAATTCCAACGGTGATACAACAGTCAAAAAGTGCATAGAAGTGCATAAAAAAGTGTATAGAGCAGGTTTAACTAAGAGAATGGGCAGAGACAACGTATCTGAAAGGCTATACACCAGGAATTGAAGTTGTGTACACAGGGAAGGTAAACATTTGACGTTGGATTGAGCACATTTTTTTTCTCTGGTAGGTACAGAACACCTGAACATATGCACGAAAATTGGAAATATATGCGAAAACGTGAATATATGCAGAACTTTAAGTTACGGATGTTGATCATCAGGACCACATGATCCTGTAAATTAATTTTACGTCGTTAATAAATGTTTCAATGAGAGCATAAAGCGCACTTTCGGAACGGAAATGTACTGCAAGGAACTTACTGCGATCAGTCCAATTACGAGTTTCTTTGCCATCCGATGACGTACCTCTGGCGACAAGGTTTTGTCCCGTCCCTTCTTCATGATCAACTCCTAGGATGGCCCATTTGCCCTGGTCCTTGACAACGGAGTTTTCTTCTTGGTTCGAATAATGATTCTCACTGCCTTCGTTCTGAAGTCTCACCCGCACTCTTGACGTTTCATCTCCATCGACTGATGCGCGGTGGCAACTCAACATCACGAGAGCTATTAGAGCGTATCGCGTCATTCTCGCCGCTTACCATGCCACTCAAACCAAACTGACTAATTTTTCGCGTAAAATGTGCTCGTCATGAGCCTATAGCGATTTTCCGGTAGGGAAAGTATTCCTTCAGTCTGGCGCCCATCTTGTGAGTGAAGGGCGAAAGAGGAGTTGATGATGCCTTGTCATTAATGCTGAAATATCGGCTTCACAGCTCGCGCAAATTTCAGCATCATCAGGCAAATTTTCGCTACAAAATTCGTGTAAATTGTTGAGAAATAATTTCTGGGAAATCTCCTAAATTTTACTTGGAATTTCGCTTTTTGGCAAGAGGAAAACGAGATCCATCCAAGCGCTACTTTTTATGTCTAATACTTACTCCCGGATGTACGGGCCGTCAAAAAACACCGTGATTGGCGTCATTATGATTGACGTGGTAGTGCACGATACCGTTTTTTCTACCCGGGTTAATGGATCTATGATTCATATCTTTGCTCTTGTCGCTCAGCGGAATGTAGTAGTGATAGAGGTAAGAGTTGAGTGGGTGGTTGCGAGCATTTCTTGTTTGTATCTTTTCCGTTGGCTTCATCTGGTGTAAGGGTTGTATCGCTGGCTTTTAAAAAGAATCATGATACTTTCACGATTCTCGTGGCCAAAAAGCAAATCGACGGTGAAAGTCGGCAATCACATAACTCGATTTGCGACGTCGCAGACTTCCTGTCATACATTATTCTTTAAACGGAAAACTACTCAACGGTAATTCCTTAAAACTGCCGTGATTTTTCTTCTATGTGCGAGGAAAATTCTGCAAAAACTGCAAGGAATCATGTCCGTTTGTTCTCCTTCAAAAAAATAACATAGTTGCGGAGATTTTCAGACACCGCAAACGAGTTATGTGATTGCCGACTTGCACCGTCGAAATATTTCCCGGTCTATGTGTCAGTTTACTGGCAGAGAGGATTTTCTGTCAATCGCATATTTCGTTATAAAAACATTTTTTCCCCTTCTTCTTCTTTTTTTTAATCTTCCGATAGTCGTTTGAAGCAATGTGTTTTACGGTATATTTAATTTAAATTATTCAACTGAATTATATTTCATTAATTGAACTTTCTAACCTTAGTCTTACTCACTCTTGGGAAAAATGAAAATGCCTGAAGCAAAAACGGAGAAAATAGCCTAAAATGACAGCGTTCAGTGCTGAAAATACAATGAAAAAACAAACAAAAAGCCAGACGTGGGATACAGTGTTTCTAGTGTATTTTCATTTCAAAGTCCGAAAATAGTTTCCGTTTTCTCCTGTCACCCACTAGTTTTCCGAGAAAGCCAATTTTTACGGGGGAATGCTGCAAAACGCTTTCCTCGCAAGACAAAAGTTCATGAGTTTCACAGGTTTGTAGAGGGTTACCCCGCTATATTAAAGTGTTGTGTATTTTCAGCCGATGGGTTTAAAAACTACCCCAGAGTATTTTAATCGCACCGATGTTCTCGAGAAAAATCAATTTTCTCTAAAATTTTCTCTAATATTGTTGTGTATTTTCAGCCGATGGATTTAAAAACTACCCCAGAGTATTTTAATCGCACCGATGTTCTCGAGAAAAACCAATTTTCTCTAAAATTTTCTCTAATATTGTTGTGTATTTTCAGCCGATGGATTTAAAAACTACCCCAGAGTATTTTAATCGCACCGATGTTCTCGAGAAAAACCAATTTTCTCTCAAATAACTTCTCGCATCCATTTTAAAAACAACGTGAAACGCTAAAAAATCACGTTTTTTCGTGAGGGGAATGACGCTAGATGTAAGATTATCGCTGCTGTCATCGGCAGGAGCCCGTGCCCAGGGCCGAAACTCGGCAACCTCGTCGAGAATCCACGCGATTTCTTGGGCAGTTAATTAAGGGCTGAGAAGTTTTCCGATTAAAAAATCGCGGGGAACACACGCCGCTCTCGGGGCAGGGATCCGGCGGGGAAGAGGCTCAGTTTCCGTGCGCCCCCGCTCCGTATCGGCGCGGCGCACACTGGGTCGAGTCAATAGGAGAGGTCGGAAAAAAATCAGAAACTTTAAACGCTTCATAATTCCGTTCATACAAAAATTTAAGGTTCTAAAAGTGGGTCCATTGGTTTTCTCGTGAAATTTTCCTCCAGAAGTACCCCTTAACATTTAAAATGGACGTATTTCTGTCAAACGGAACTGTGTGCATTTTGACGCGGGCCTTGTTACGCATATATTCTTATGGGTCTCAGGGCTCATGTCTCAATGCACATAGTTCCGTTCGGCAGAAACACGTCCAAATGTGGCGAAATATACATTAAATTTTGCAGGTATAGTCTAAAATTTTATGTGCGACCTCTCTGATCGACTCGATCACTGTGCGGCGGCTCCGCGGAGGCTTATCAGATCCGTCACCGGTCGAGCCGCTTCCCGACGTTCCGCCTTCAACAGGAAATCGATGACATCATCATTTCCAACACGAGTACGAGTCACAGGTCTCCTCAGCGTCGCGGGATTTATTAGAAAATTCAACATCGAGGATAAGAATATCTGGGTCGCTCCCGCCCTCCGAGCAGTCCCTATTGCGTCGCCCCTCTGACGTAAGGACGTATCTCGATTCTCACGTGAGCCCTGTACTCCGTATATTTCTACGCTTTCTGGGGCTCATAATGGGAATTGAGATACGCCCTTACGTCAAAGGGACGACGATTCGGCTCGGCATGTACACCGAGAAAAATTGTCATCTTGGCTCGGCGCTGCCTTGTCACGGAAAATAATCGTGAGTGGAGTCTGGAATGAGCCACGGTTTGCGTATGCTTTTATGTGTCTCGAGGCTCATTCGAACTGCACTTGCGGCTCTCTTCCGTAACGGATAGGCCGCACTGCAGTGCTACGGGAAAGAGCAGTATGTGTAGACGATCGGCTTCTCAACTTAATCTATCTATCGTCGTCTCTTTGACGTATGGAAAAGGGGTATCGGTAAGGACCGTTTTTCGGCCTAGCCTGAATTCCTCGACTGCACAATTTTTGCACATTGAAAATCTATTTTTTACGGAATTCCTTATGATTTGGTCATTTTTGGGTCTAGTACTGGCTTAAAGGTGAGTCTAAAATCTGTCCTCAGATCTATGTTTAGGTCAGTATTAGACTTGAAAAGAGGCCGAGAAGAACCGAATTGAGATGCATTCCATTAAAGATAGATTTTCATTTAGCAAACATGCGTAGAGTTGAGGAAATTCAGCCAGGAGTGGCCCCTAAGCGACCCTCATCGATACAAATCCTTTAACTCAATTTTCACATGGAGAGCAAGTTTAGCGCTGTTTTCTGTCTCTTTAACTTTGCACTTATTGCAGAAATCATCAAATAAATTATACTTACAAAAGAACTTGAACACAGTGAGACATGATCATAACGAAATCATCTTACTAAAAAAGAAGGACGCTTTTAACGGGCATGTTTTTATGCATTTACAAGTACCATGAAAAATGTAAGTAAATGCATCCGTTCACAATGGAAGTATCTCTCTGCCTCGTTTAACATTGTTGTGAGCCGGCCAGGTTGGTCTAGTGGTCAGCTCGCCTGACTCTAGGTCAATAGCTTCTGGGTTCGAATCCCGCGGGTGGTGCGGCGACAAATTGTCATAGACCTGACGAGTGGATCTGCAGAAACAGATTCCACTCGGCCTTAATCCCTGAAAATTTGAAAGCCTGGAGCATGGATGTGCATTAACCTTAACCCGATGCTCATTAAAGGTCGCTGAATCCTCAAATGGATTAAAGACCTCAAATAACTCAAAAAGAAAAAAAAAGAAAGAAAAAAAACCTCCGTTGTGACCAGGTGCTATATATACTTTATTTCTATGCGTGAGTCCCTGCGTTCGATTTTACAGTCTCCCGCCGCCGCACGGTGGATCGAGTCAATCAGAGAGGTCGGACATGAAATTTTTGACTAAAACTGCAAATTTTGATGTTTATTTTGTCACATTTTCAATTTAGAGGGATGCTTTTGTAGACAATTTTTACGAGGAAACCAGTGGAACCATTTTCAGAGCCTTTAAGTTTCGTAGAAACGGAGCTATAATAGTTCAAAGTTTCCAAATTGTGTCAGATCTCTTCTATTGACTCGATCCACTGTGCGCCGTTTCTCTCAGGACAAAAAATCGTCACTTGGCATCTTCTTTCTTCAAAATCTCATCTTTCAAAAAGTCAGTGTTGATGTCAACCACATATGGGGCTCCTGGCGGGAGCTTGGCAATTTTCTCTTGTGCCCAGCGTCGGTAGAGGCCTCTCTGGGCGTGCGAGACGAACTGTATGTGCGCTTCGGGCTTGACGCTGTCGGTCCGCATGAGGTAGAAGCGCGTGGGTCTGGAGTAGCCGTAGAAGACCCAAAACATGAACTTCCGTGCGGTCCCCTTCCCGAAGCGGCTTCGGACGAGTCTTCGAAGGTGAGGGGTCAACTTGCAAAAACATTTGAGTCCCTTCAGAATGATCACGCCGTCAGAGACTCGCTCCAGGCGACCCAGGGATTTCTCCCAGAATCCGTGTTTACCGTCGCACCGTAACTGACATTTGGTAGGATCTCGTATGAAGAATCCGCCTAGAACTGGAATCGGAAAGCTTTGTAGTAGGAAGTACTAGGTACTAGGTGGTATACTCGTTGACAGTACAAGTTGACAGAACAACCCCCAAAAGACGCCTTGCACCATTTAAATGTTGAATCTTAGGCCAAGTCCTGAAAATTTAAAGAATACTGGGCTCATCTAGAGCTTGCTCATGGTCGCAAAACTCTTGATACTCAGTCGAGTATAGATCATCAGAAACTGGCGCAATGATAATCCTGAATTCTATTTTTTGCATTACGTACATTTTGTTTTAAACGTAATGAATGAAACATTAGCGGAAATTTTGAGAAACTGCAACCAAGAAATGCCCTTTATGCACCCAGCGCTTCAATTATAGGCTATTAAAAAAATAAATAAATAATATTAACAATACGCAAGGAAAATCCGATCACTTTCGATACCTTTGATTGAGGATTTATTCTTAAATCGATAAAAATCAATTATTTTTCGAAACCAATAAAACATCGAATTTAAATTCTGAGTAATTTCTCCTCAACTACATAAAAGGCATAACTCATTTCCAATAGAATGCTTTTCTTTTTCTGTAATGATTCTCTTTTAGAAGCGCGACCAATGATCCTGAACAAACAAACCTCTCTCTTTACGCATCTCTAGTATTCTTTCCTCAGTCATGATCTTTTAGATAACGAAAGGCGAGAGGCATTTGCATTTTAGCCCTAAAAATGATGCCTACGTACTAGATTGAAGAGTAAATGTAGAAATTAGGTATATGGCTTTTTCCAACTACAAACAACGTTGACAATTAATTTTTTGTACGGAGTCGTATAATGCGTTGGTTTTTTTTTCAAGATTTTAAAAAAATTAATCGATTGCAGCCGGACCACAATTACTATTGTAATAAACAGTGTAAAACAAACACGGTTATTGTATTAAACAGTGAATTAACATTTATAACCATATGCTCCGGCTACTGGCGATTATTTTTTCAAAATCTTGACAATTTTCCTCGCGTTTGAGTAACAAAGTTTAAAGTGAAGACTCACTTGAGACACCTGGTGGAGGCAGAATTGCCAATATGAAGATGACCACTCTCATTAATGTAGCAATTCGCATGTCCGTCAAGAAGTTACTCATGCTGCTCTACGTATTCTTCCGGACGAAAGTTTTCAGATGAATATATTATTGTATTTAACTGGACAAAATTCGCAAATACTACCACTTCACCGTATAAAAAAGAAAAGTAAAACATCGCAGACGTTCTTTTAAAAAATAAAAGTTCTCCAAGCTCTCGATATTCTCAAGAAGGAATAATGCTAATTTTCTGAACTTGCCATAGCGCAATTCTTTACGTTTTACCTTACGGTCAATATTTTTGAAAGCTTCAATATTGTCTAAAAAACGCAGCGTGAGTTCTTTGTTAGTAACGTTAACAGTTCTGATAAACCTTCATCACTGACGACACTGAAAGAGTAGCATGTTCAAGAGGTTCCCTCTTTCCGGAGTTTTTTGTGCCGTTGAAATGGAAATTAAGCTAGTTTTTTTTAGATTGCAACGAGACCGGTATTTCGGATATCGTCGTCATCTCTGCAAAATTATGAACAATACTGTGTCGTGCTGGACTGTTTCTTATGTGAGTTTTTTGTTTGTTTGCCGAACTCATCACGAGCTTTGCAAGTCAAACAAGTGAACGTCGCCTTTTTTCGGCGTTAATTTTCGCGTGTAATGTTTTTAGTTCGCGAAAATCTCACTGACGTTTCGTTTGAAAAATACCTCGTGTCTTGCGGAACGTCATCGTAAGTAGTCATTTTTTGTCCCTATGTGTGTATGAGCCGCTTTTACGGCGCGCTAGGGCGCTCTGCGACGCCTATTCTCCACAGGAATCTGTCATGGTAGAGATCCTCCGGAAGGTGGCATCTCTCCATCTCTTCATGGATGCCCTCTACCCACCGTTTGGCTGGACGCCCTCTCCGTCGCCTACCTGGGGGGACCCACTCCAACACCTTCTTCGGCAACCTGGTATCAGCCATTCTCTGCACATGCCCATACCATACCAATTGCTTGGTCATGATATCGTGCACAATCGTCCCCTCAACGCCCCTTATCTCTCGGACACGTTCATTCCTGACACGTTCTCTCCTCGAGATTCCAGCCGATCTTCGCCAGAAATCCATCTCGGTCGCCTTGAGCATTTCTTGGGTCCGCTTCTTCAACTGCCACACTTCACTGCCATAGGTGATAATAGGCTTGACAACCGAGTTATAAATCCTCTTCTTGTTGTCTTTGGAAATCCTTTGGTCCCAAAGGATCCCATTAAGCATGGCGATGGCTTTCCTTCCTAGAAGATTACGGTCCCGAATGGCCTGATCCAGCTTCCCATCCGAAGTCAGGTTCACCCCCAGGTACTTGTATTGTTCGCAACTTTCTATATGTTGACCATCCTCCAGGACTATGCTTTGCTGAGCACCTCCGACTGACATCTTTTTTGTCTTACGGACACTAACCTCGAGGCCCCATTTGCGGTACTCCTCCACCAACTTCCGGGTCATATACTCCGCGTCATCGTGATCTTGACTTATGACTACCTGGTCGTCAGCAAAGCATAGCGTGAACAGTGTTTCTTGGTCATTTAGAGGGACGCCCATGCCGGCACACTTTCTTTTCCATTCCTTCAGAACGTGCTCTAGATATATCTTAAACAGCGTCGGTGACAGACAACATCCCTGCTTAAGCCCCTTGGTGACAAAAAAACCGTCTGAAAGCCTTCCTTGGCACTTAATTCTGGCAAAAGCCCCCCGATAAAACTGCTTGACTGCCCCAATAAGTCCTTTACTAAAACCAGTTTCTTCTAGGACTTCCCAGAGTTTCACAAGAGGAATACTATCATATAAGCCTTTTCAATATCCAAAAACACTAAATGAAGCTCCTGGCCAACAATTCTCTTCTTTTCGGTTAACTGGGTAACACAGAACAGATGATCAGCGGTAGACCGACCAGCCCTAAAACCTGCTTGCTCCTCCGCCTCGAACGGGGTCCACTCCTCTTCGATCTTCGCTTTCAACACTTTTCCATAAATTTTACTTATCGTTCCTGTCACCGCTAACCCTCTGTAGTTCCCACAGTCATCCTTCCTTCCTTTTTTATGCGACGCTGTTATCCAGGCCTCTTTCCATTCTTTCGGGATGTCATCACCGTCAATGCACTTCTGCAGCAAATCCCTGAGATGGTTAACCAACTTGCCAGTCCCACATTTAATTAACTCGGCTGGAATGTTTCCTGGCCCAGGAGCTCTTCCATTCATCAATTCCCTGATTGCTTTGACCACCTCCTCAACTCGAATTTCCATTGAGTGATCCTCGACTATATTTTCAGCATTCCCCGTTTGAAACTCTGGTCGTCCTTCCGTCAATAATTTATTAAAATGTTCGTCAAGCTGTGAGATTGTTATCGGAGATATAATGTCCCGTTTCATGTCCCTTCTTAGGCCTTTGATCAGCTTCCAGCTCTCAGCACTCTTCCTTCCCCCCAGGTATGTGTCAATCCTTGAGCAGTTGGTCTCCCAAGACTCGTTTTTCTTCCTGGTGATTAAAAGACGAACCCTCGCCTGGGCTTTCCTATACGCGCCGCGGGTGTCTGCAGTCCTAGAAGCCAGATAGTCATGGTACTTCCTACGCTTTTCTTCAATTACCTCCTCTACCTCTTTGTCCCACCAGTAGGGTTTCTGTACATCCTTGCTCTCATTACACATACCCAGGGCTTCCTTCGCAGCTGAATGTATGCAACTTTTGATGAACTGGTACAACTCTTCTGCAGTATCGAAAGTTTCTACTCCCAGTTTCTCATCCAGCCGCTTCCTGTAGAGCGCTTTCACGCTTTCATGCTGTAAGCTATCGATGTTGTAGTGCACTTGTTCGATCTTCGTTCCTTGTGGCTGGCACTTCTGATGTTGCAAGGTATTCCTCTGCAGCCCATACTTAACCGGAAATGCAATCTCCGCCTTGAGAAAATGGTGATCACTACCACAGGAGAACCCCCGGCAAACTCTTACTTGTTGAACCTTCATGGTACTCGTCTGCCTGGTGACCGCGTAGTCGATGATTGACTTCAGCCCCCGAGTTTGCTGAACCCACGTGTACTTATGGATATCTCGATGTTGGTAGAATCCGTTCAGTATTTTCAACTCGTTTTGTTCACACATATCAATGATGCGTGCACCGTTGTCATTCATCGCCTCTTCACCGAAATGTCCAACAACTTTAGAACCATTCCTTCGTCCGGTTCTACCATTCAAATCTCCCATGATAATGACCTCCCTTGTCCTTCCAACCCTCAGAACCTCGTCGTTGAGTTGCTCAAAGAACTGATCCTTTAGATTGACGGGAGCATCATCATTCACACCATATACTCCTAACAGTCCTCAGTCCGTATGGGGGACTGTACTCAGTACTGTCACAGGTTTAGCAAGCCTGCGGACCCCAGCTGGTAGCCCCTGCCTTAAAGGGGGATGGAGGTGGTCACCGGCTTCATGGCGTATGAACCACTCATCAGAGGGGCAGACAGGGCTCATAGCTGTGGTGAAAGCAGCCTGTCTAGGAGACGGTACTCCAAAATCAAACCCTGGTCCTCCAGGTTGGGGGTTGGGGCATCGGGCTAACTCCCCGATACCCGGAAAAAACTTAATGTTAAAAAGCCTAACAAAGATAGCCTCGGTGATAATGGAAAAAAACGGATTTTGCGACACAAACTACGGAAAAGGACAATGGTTTTTGGGACATGGAATGTACAGGGCATTTCTAATAAATTGACAGAGGTTGTATCGGAGGTAAAAAAGTATAATGTAGATGTCGCCGTGTTAACAGAAACGAAAAAGAAAGGCACAGGATCAGAAAACTTAGGATGTTATGATCTGTTCTATAGTGGTGTCAGTAAAGATCAGCGCGCACAGCAAGGAGTCGCCATACTTATCCGGAAAAGTTTGCGTCCGTCTATAACTACTTGGGAAGCAGTAGACCAGCGGATCATCAGAATGCATCTTACACTGCATGGTCACAAGGTGGCCCTGTTAGGAGTATTTTTTGTCCCTTTTCTGATAAAATACGAGTTTACACGTGACATTTTGTTTATTTATCGTCTTGTGGTCGAGTGAATCTCACGGGAATTAAAGAGAAAAGTTTTTAAAAACGCTTGAAAAAGTTTTTAAAAATTCTTGAAACAGTTTTTAAAAACTCTTGAAACAGTTTTTAAAAACTCTTGAAAAAGTTTTTATGATTCAACTATTTTGTGCCCGCTAATATCTTTGACTGCAAAATATACGGGAAGTCTGTTGTCTCTCTTAAAAATTTCAGATACTCCAGAGCGTTTAATAAAAAGAAAGTGAATTTGACGGAATCTGAAGACTATAAGATGTAAAACACTTCCTTTAAACTAGGATGTTAGTAACATTGCACTTTGTTAATTACATGAAAACATTGTAAAATTTAAACTGTGTTCGCAATCATTGCTTTGAAAAATATGTACACTTTTCTTCAGAATTTTAAACGAACATATATTTTCAAATGCTTTCAGTTTAAACAAACGCGGGTAAAAATAGGAAATACAAAGAAACAATTCATGTATATTTGTACTAACACATTAAAGCACAGAAAACTTTTTGATTTTATTCGCCAACTTTTCTTTGTAAATTATCAATGTAGACTGCTTTTTCAGGAGTGACATTTTAGGTATACTTGCTCAAAAAAGGAACGGAGGAATAAAGCGGGGGAATTATGCAGTGCTGAGAAGAAGCAAGTTTTCACACAAAGGAAATATGTTATTCGGAAAAATGAGGGCTACTTATAAATGCTCATGCGACGTTTTTCCTTAGCACTGGAGAAATATCATGCTGATTTTGTTGACTTTTTGTCCGAAATCAATTCAGAAATGAAGGTGCGGATACTTACGCTAAAGCTGTATATGCCGTTGTGATTTTAGATCTTACGTCTATACAATTAAAACGCAGGAGGAGAATTACCAAGCCTTTTTTTTTAAATATATATATTCGTGACCACTGTATTTGTTCTCAATGCACATAATTGGATCCATTAAAGAAAAAAGATCGCACACACTTTCAATGCCTCTTAAGCTATTCAAATATTCTGCCAATTCAAATTTAGTACTCTTTCCTGCTGCTTTTCGCCTGATTAGTTATTCGCACGCTGTCTCGCTGCTAGATACTCCGCTTTCTTATCGTATGGCACTAATTGAAGCGGCATCGGATGCTGCTTCTTAGTCTCTCGCAAGATTGCCATTGAAAAGCGCTCGTTCGTCCGGCAAAAGCACTTGACGCCTTTCCCCCAAACCTTTCCGATGGCCACACTCACCAAATCTCCGGGGGAGTCCTCGAAGTAGCCCTCCTTCCTATCGCATCGCTTCTGACACGCTGAGGGGTCCCGAATGAAAAAACCGAACCGCCCTGTAAAACAACATGAGCATCACGGAAAAAATTAAATTTCCGATTTAACAATTCGATTGCTAAAAAAGGTGACTGCAATGTTTCAATGCAGATTTTACAACACAAAAATGCTACTTTAAACATCCCCGTGGTTAAATTAGTGTTTTGACAGACTCAATTGATTTTTGCCAATTTAAACTTAAGCCAACGAAATGCGATTCTATGACCTGCGCAATTGACCCAATGTGGTGTTCCAAAATCTTCTTTACTATGTTACATGTCTAACCCCACTTAAAAAAATTCGAATCGTCTAGATTGGAATTTCAATTGATTTGATTTGATGTATCAAGCCAAAATCAGCCTATCTGCACCTACGGTGCCTAACTTCGTATCTTGTTTAATTTTTTTAACAGAGAACTATACAACGTAACACCTTGAATTTCTTTGAATTTTCTTCAGCTTATGACAAATATACTTAAAAAAACCTCAATTTAGAATGATGCTTATAGTTTTTTGGTTAAACAATAAAACATGAGAAGAAATTAAGCAACGCCTGATGTTGTTTTGCTGATTCCGGTTAAATCTTTCGGTTGAATTGGAAAGGTCATGCACATGGGGAACTTCTAAAAAAACACGTATGTGTAATAGCTAATGACTCTTAACATATGTCAGATGGGGACGAATCTGAAATAGAAAGAATAAGAGGATAGATAAATGAGAAGAGGAAGAAAAGACAAAGAAAACTAAAGCATTCTTGAATTCTTTATATTCTTCCTCTATACTCCTTTCCTCCTTCTTTTTCATCTTTTTCCTCTCCTCACTCTCATGCTTCTTTCTCTCAATAAAAACAATTCCGTCCTCTATTACGGACTCATGGACGCTGTCAATGGTAACATCACCATAGGGACTCTCCGTTACACCAAACTGTATCCAAGCAATAAAAATAACAACGTAATCTCTCTCAACATCACCAATGAGAATTAATCTACATGCATCATTTTTCTATAGCGTATACAACAAATATCGTCTGCGCGTTAAATTCACCATCGATATTAGGCTCAAACTTGTTTCTGTCAAGGTCATAATTATTGTTTATAATCGTCATGTGCATCCTTTTGCTAAGATTTCATAGTTTTTCATACCAAGACGTTTCGCTTGAAAAAACACAGTATGTAAGGTTTCAACTTACGCGAGTCGCTTGGTTGAACCAAGTTTCCCAACATAATAAGGGACACTGACATCGTTAGAATTGCAATATGTATCATTGCCGGACTATAACTTCTTAAAGACTTCAACAGACCGTTGCTCTGTAATATATCAAAATGACAATCATAATGTTGAGAGTGTCACAGAAATTTGTAAAAAATCCTTAAATCAACTTTTTTTTTTGGTTTTTCAAAATGTTTCATCTTACTCACGATTTTGAAGAAATTTCGACCATTGTTCAAAACCACATTACCAGCTCTACAGGAATGAAATTGCGACAAAGCCAATATATTTTGAAAATAGGTCCATAAAAGAGGAAAGGTAAAATTAAAAATAAAAGACAGCCTTGAGCATTTATGTATTGTTTGGGCGAATCTATACAAATTTCAAGCAGTGCTTACTTTTGAAAGAGTAAAGCTCTTATTGCAACAAGAGTAAGTCGAGGAGAGAGGGCTAATGGGGCTTTATGAAATTGCGATGTTTCAAAATTTTGTTTGAAAGTTGATTCATGTCCTCAAAGTAAACGAAAATGCGTTTATGGATTATGCTGTAAATTTTCTTTTAGATTTGAAAATTCTTAATTTTTTTTGCAAAACATGCATCCGTTTATGTATTACGAAACAAATTTTCAAGTCAAATTTTAAAAAAACTGTCTTGCAATTAAGTCCTTCTGTCTTTTCATCGTTTCAAAATTAAAAGAAGTCTAATCAAAATGAAAAACCGTGAAGATGAGACAAACCAAGGAGAGAATATAGCAACCACGCAAAATAGTTTTTTATGCTTGCAAGGAAAACCACTCAAAATATGTAGTTTTTTAATACGAGTAATTACCTGGAAGTTGACAAAATTTTGTCTTACTGCAATTGTTGCACGCTCAGGACCACTTTAGCGGATGACTAAAAATTTTGAGGTCACCCAGAAAATGGAGCACAGGCCGTTCTTTTGTCATCTGACGATTGTGACGAATCGAGTCGTTATTTATCGTGACGAGCAGATTGAGCCGTTTTTGCTGCCATCTCGTTGAAAAACATAATCACGTCACCCCGATCATATTCATTTCGGATTTTTTGAAAATGCAGTTCCGGTTTTGCCCTTGAATAATTCTCATGTTTCCGTGAGCTTGATACTTTTTCAGTACCATGTATGCCAGGTCTCAATGATGCGGCCGTTTTGGTGAAATCACTGAAATAAAAAATGCGCTTGCCTGCATGTGCCAAATACTGGTTTACTGGATTACCTATCATAAAAAATGTGAATTGCGCAGTGATTTTACTACTATACGTCATGTCTTATAAAAAGTGATTTTTTTTTCTCTCTAATGTAAGACTACGTCTCTCCTCTCCGCACGGCATCTAATGGATTATTAGCAACGGTTTTTCTTTTTCCTTTTTTTTAACGGCGAACTTCTCGTCATTGCCTTTACATCCATGTTCAACTCATCGGTGAAGTTGCCAGTTAGTATATCCTTAAGCCATCAATGTCTAATTTATCAGCGAAGTCATTGACGGTGGAATAGATTGAGTAAAAGAGTCTTAGGTACTTCATTGGCGAAATCATTGATGATGTCATTGGTCAAATCTTCCTTTACGTTCATTGTAACTCGTGAATGATGCCATGAGAAGGAATTAATTGTGATTCATGAATGCACACTCGCAATCGCCATGGTTGACCTTGATGTTGTCATAGCATTGGCTAATTTATCGAATAGCAATTGGTCAAGTATTATGTCATGAATGTCCGTCCGTTGCAAACAGAGAGATTTATTTATTTTTTTGAACCATTGTACCTATATGCTATTGGAATAATTGCGGAAAAAAAATTGTGACAACTTTAAGTGGGATGGCTGAAAGTCTTCGGAAGTTCTTAAAATCGTTCTTCTAACGCCAAGCATGATTGTCGACTGATTTGAAACGATAATGATGCCGTGCTAAGGAAAAACGCCGTATGAACATTTAAGCGTTGCCAAATTTCCAGTGATAAAACGCGAAATTCCTGGTGAGTATATGAATACTTCCCTCCCAATTGTTCAGATAATTTAGTTCGCAATTTTACTTAAAGATTCTGAAATATAAAGGGAAAATTCATAACTTTCCAGAAGAATAAACATTTAAGGAATTTTAAGGAAATTTGGCAACACTCAAATGTTCATACGGCGTTCTTCCTGGGCACGGCAGAATGGTTTATCCGATGCGAAGCAGTGACGTGGGTCTGATGCGAATCCGGGCTTTTTTACCCCTCGGAAAAAAAAGCGTCTCGCGACAGACCGTATCAAGTATGAAATCTCTCATATGTCCTCGCCACGTTTAAATGCGAGTGACGCTGGCAAGGTGTTGCTTGTTGATGCAGTTTTAGCACCTACGTCATGTAGTCGGCAAAATATGTTTCCACCTTTTTTGTAGTCACCTCTTTCACTTCCTACAAATCTTGTTGGATCCGGGCATGACCTTGGTGCACTTTTATCAAGAGGAATCGTTTCTGATGCACATTGCAGTGGGATTTTCTTTCATCCCTTAATGAGATATGACGAAAGCTTCAAACGAATCAACTGTCAAAATAATTCATCGTGGTCATTGGGCGTGATAAAGTCGATTGATGGTATTCTAATTTTGTCATAAAAATATTATGTTAGTGCAATATGATGTCGAACCAGGAATGCTCGATTTTAAATCGCGTATCAGGGTAAAGTAAGCCTTTTTCTAGTAAGAAATAGACGGAATTTTTGTGTGTATTTTGGTTTATTTTCGGAAAAGGAAACTGTACATTTTCAGATTCTTGGAATGCCCTAATTGCTTTCGTTATAAAACTACCAATTTTGAGAAAACTACAGTACCGTTAAAGAAATAAATTATAGAAAAACGATGCTCGTCCTCCGCTCTTTGATATCAGAAGCATTATAGAAAGGTATAACAGATAAATCTATTTTAAATATATGAGCTCCTATCCGTCATCTTGTTGTTGAGCCGGTGCGCCACTTGAACGCATTGCCACTAGTCTGCCGTGCTAAGGGAGAACGCCTTATGAGCCCTCAGACGTTGCCAAGTTTCCTCCGATAAACCGAAATTATTGGGAAAATTGCGTATATTATTTCCCGAAATTTTCAGACAATTTTGTACGCAATTTAATCCAAAGTATCTGAAAATTTCGAGGAACAGTATGCATAAATGTTGTCAAAAATACATGTTTTATCAAGGGAAATTTGGCAACTCTCGAATGTTCATACGACGTTCTTCCTAACTATCTCTTTCTGCCCGATTCCGATTGTGTCTGTGCGTTTCTCTGTTGTTCCTGCTCCTGCTCTTTCTCCCATTCAGCGACTGATATGAAAGTGATCTTCTCCTTCATCCATTTCCGGACCCAGCCCGATCGTCCCATGACAATCGAAAAGGCAAGAAGTCTTGCCCAGCTCCCGCCGCGTTTCTTGTCATTAGCTTTGAGGGTGGTTTTAAGAAACGGGTCCATCCAGCAAGTGCACTTGTATCTTAGTTTGATGGAGGCATATGCAACCGAGCGAAAGCAGTTTGCCGGTGGCCCAGCTTTCCAGAGCCCGTGCTTCCGATCGCAGCGTTCTCGGCACTTCTCCTTGTCCTTGGTGAAGGAATTTCGGCCTGTAAACGATCATCCTTTTTAAGAATGAAGCACAGTGTCTTAAGCAGCTCTTTTTCGTATGTATCGTTTACATCCTGACATACACGTGTTTGTTTACATTGGGAAATTTGAGGTTATCGTCAACATACAACCATCAAAACAGGGTTGCTACAATCAGGGAAAACCGGCAAACCGGGACTTGTTAGGGAATTTTGGAAAGTCAGGGAAAACCTGGAACTGTCAGAGATAACTCGTCAAATCACCTTCATTTGCTTTCTCGAGTAGGTTTGACGTTTCAAACAACAAATTTTGCCTGAAAAGTATTTCTAACTATGCCTTTTTAAAAATCTGGCATTTGTTAAATTGGCAAGGAATTTCATCAAAATGTGTCAGGGAAATAAGGAAAATATCAGGGAATATAATTTTCCAAATTCTGTGGCAACCGTGTTTTAAAGCACGATTTTGACAAATCTCGAATAAAGTCCAATAAAATTATTTTGGAAATAGGCCCTTTGCAGAGATTGTAATGCAGTGCCTTTACAAGAAATCAAAAAGACGAAAGAAAAAAGTGTATGCTCTAAAGAAATTTGAGGTAGATAAAATAGATATTTTACAATCTTAAAAACCTGCAATCAATTTTCCTTTGAAGAAGTAATTTATCGTAATGCTTTGCAAAGATCTATTTCCATGGTTATACTTTTGAATTGGCGCCTTGGCACGCTGCGGCGCAGCGCGGCTGGTCAACTCCCAGCGCGGATTGACGCCTACAAACCTAAGGGGATACTTCAAGCATTGCGCAATGCGTGAAGTATCCCCTTAGGTTTGTAGGTGTTAGTGCGCGTCTCGCGCCGCGCCGCGCCGGTAGCACGCCGCGCGCCGCTCCGCTCTGTGTTTGGCTATAATTACTTGACATTTTGTTTTAAGTATCCTTTTTATGATGTTGTACGAACAATCTCCTCGAACCTCTTCTACTTAAAATATAAAATAATCCTGGCCCTATTGGAAAGAGCTGTTAAGCGACGACGATGATTACGGCACACAGGGTGAGACCAAATGGATTAAATCTTAATTCAATAGGGTTTTTTTCTAGAAAGAGGAGCCTATTTGTTCAACACAAGAATCCGGGTTTTTAATCCCATTAGAATCGGTTCTGGACAATTCTCTACTAACAGGTCCGATCGAAAAAGAATATTAAAATTGCTTAAAAAAAAGCTTTTAAAAAAGCTTTTTTAAGTTTAAGTGAGAATTAACTTAATTTTGAGCAGATAAAACTTTTTTCCTCTTTCGTGCATTTGCACATATGCAGTACGATTGCAAACGATGCATTGCAACGATGCAAACGATTGCATACGATGCAATACAACTGTATATTAAAGAGAGAATTGCATCAATCAAAAGGTCGTAACTGCAGTCACGTAAAATAATAGTCATTTAAAAACTGCGCATTATACAGTCAAGTTAGCCTTTGACAGATGGAACCTTTTTCTTTTGACATTTTTGCAGATAAGTACGTGCAGAAAAGGATAAAAAATTATGGTTTTCTATTTTTGAGATATTTTAATCTCTTTCTTCAATAAGAGTCCGAAGAATATCAAATTGAAATGTCAAGCTATAATTTTAATCATCAAAATGCCCTCTAAGTCTGATGAATTTGGTTCTTTTTGAAAACTGAACGAAGCTAGTACCTAACTCATGAAATTTTAAAAATTAATAACACGGGAACACGTTTGGTGGACGTGTTTAAACGTTTGCATCCAAGATGTTTCCTAATGATAGGTCTGTTTATGTCGGAAAACTTTTCAATTCTTTAAATGTTTTGTTTTAATGCAGTTTTTCCTGTCCCTTGAAAAATGTGGTGTTTCATTGTAAGTCTTGTAAATTACTTAATATTCGTCTCACGCCTTAGGGACCCTCCTCCGACTGTTGCATCTTATTTTCAGTTACGACTGTCATTGACAGGCCAATCATGGCAAACAGTTAATACTTATTCAGGCGTCAACTGACGAAAATAAATTTTGATTTTTAATCCGAATCGATTTGTCACTCTTTTATGTGTACGTTTCCACTTTAGACTTTATGTAATTGGTACAGAAAGTTCATGACTCACCAGGGTAAAGATCATATCCAGGTGGAAATAAGAGGAGACAGATTGCCAGGAGTACAAAGCAATGTGTCGTATCCATTAAACATTAATGTGTTTACTTTGTCTTCTTCCCCGATCAAAAATTAGTCAGAAAATAACTTTCCGCGGTGGAGGTCATTCATTCTTTTGTGTTTCAAATCAATGCGACCAACTGATGAGGCCCATCAGATAACTGCGATGAAAATATTTGCACTTTCTAAAAAAACGTTTAAAGTGAATATCCCAAGATGTCGCAATTTCTGCACAGTTGATTAAAACAGTATTTTTTAGTAACTTCACAACACAATATTAAAGCTTGTGACGAAAATATTCTTTATGCACTTGTATTAGACGAACAGTCCTCACGCTCCTTATCACCAAGTCATGATCTACCAGTCATGGCGCACTAGCCCCAATGTACTGTCTTTAACTTCACTGAAACGCGCTACTTAAATGGTTGACTCGGCGATCTTGAATGACATTTACGTCATGCCTCATTTCGAGAGAACTGTCATATCCATCGAAGAAAAACCATTAAATTTTTGACGCAGCAGGTACCATCCATCGGTTCATCCCGAAATTTTCCGGGTAAGTCGGCTTATTTCCCTGTGTCCTTTAATGATGCTGATGTATCACGTAAATGTCAAACGGTGACTAATTAAAACTCATTGCGCAGTAACGCGGAAGCAAACTACACTTAAGCCTTTCCCTAAAAGCTATTTGAAAAAATAGGCGAAAAAAGGCACGTTCAGAGTTTCAAGTGCGCACGGCGAATCTGCGTCTAAGTGCCTGATGCAAACTTCAGCCAGAGCAAAGAGAAGAAACGGTTTCTGTAGAAAATGACCCAAAAATCACGTTAAAAACATCAAGAAAGTCTGGAATACACTCCGAACTTCACAATCTGCGGAAGAAATATGCGTTTTTTAAAGTCCCGCGCTTCAAAAACGTCACTACGGTTCAGGTGAAAATTTCGTAAGAGGAGTTGTTCTACCAAACCCTTGCGCACTAGGATGCCACACAATATTCAAAATGGCCACGGGCAACCCACCAAAACCTGACCAAAACACACATGACGGGACTGGATTTTACCAACCGTGGTGTTCATATTTACATTTTCCTTGCGTTGATAAAAATTATGGCGCCTTTATAGAATTTGCGCGCGGAAGCGTCAGCCATGTTGAATATTGTGCAGCATCCTAGTGCGCAAGGGTTGGGTTGAACGACATCTCTTACAAATATCCACCTGTGCCTTAGTATCGTTTTTTGAGGCGAGAAGCTTACAAAATTCGTAAAGTTTGGAGTGTACTTCTGACTTTTCCTATGCGCTTATCGTGATTTTGAACCATTTAGTATAAGAAATAACTCCTCTTTTTACTATAGCTGAAGTTTGCACTCGGCCCATTTTCCAAGTTCCTTTTTGGATATAACTTGCAGTGCATGTACAGCTTTACTGCGAAGTTACTTGCCCCGAATAGGGGCGGATCGAGCAATTTGGCAATACGGAATTTACTCTATTTAAACCTATGTTAAATAATCGATCCTTGTCAGAGCACCTGGACCCTTCAAGAATCGATACATTTCCATTGGTTTAAATGGAGGAAAGACAATATTGCCAATTTGCTGGATCCGCCAACGGCCCGAAAATCATGCGGCACCATCGTGCTTTTGACTCGACAACAACTCGGTTCGAAATCCATTCGAGACGAACTTGGCGAGGCATGACACCTTGGACCGAGGCTGGGACACGGGGAAACAACGACAGCACTTAAAGGGCCCTCCGTCTGAAAACGCCGAAATCTTTCCTCGTGAATAAATAAAAACCGGGGGCGGCCTTAATTGATTCCGGAGCGCATTAGCACGCGAGCTAATCGCCGCCTCGCGGTCCGAGAGTTTCGCTGCGAGCGTGTAGCACTCCCATTACTACACAGCACCCCGAAGCAAGAACCGCGTATCGGCCGATCGGAACTCCGCGCAGATACGCGGTTCCCGCCCACGGCGGGAGTGCACCTCTCCGGTCCATCCAATCAATCCGTGCGTTCATTGAGCCTTTGTGAACCGCTCGGACATCCCTTCGTGAGACCGTCCGGCCAGCCACTCTCCGAAGCAGCCCTGTGTAGTTAATGGGGCCCTTCGGGTGGCGTCCCTTTGTTTGTCCACTCGGAATGCGCCAGTTATCGGATCGGCCGGGTGCAATTTTTCGCAGTCCAAGTTAACTTGCCGATTGCACTGCCGTGCTTAGGAAAAACGCTGTATGAACATTCGCGAGTTGTCAGAATTCCCAGGATGATACATGTATTTTGAGGAATATAATGCACATGTTTCCTTGAGATTTTCGAATATTTTCGATTGAATTGCGAACAAAATTGTCCGAAGACATTCCATGAAAAATATTGACACCTTTCCTGATAAATTCGTATTTTATCGAAGAAAATTTGGCAACGCCTGAAGGCACTCATGGCGTTTTTTATTAGCACGGCAGTGCAGTGGTTCGTGGATTTTCCGCCATTAGGATGTCTTTAAATTTTATCTCACACAGTGTACGAGAAAAGGGATCACCGTCGCACGGAATGCAAAGTTTTCGACCAAACAATTTTTGCTGAGTGAACTGAGATAAAACAATATTTATAATTGGTGTTTCTAGGAGCTCCTAATTAGTAGGAGTCACAATCAATAATAGTTTTATACAGGGCATTCCGTCAAAAAAATGTTTGTCCGCGCACCTGTTTCGTCCAGTAAATTACGTTCACGCGTAAAATAAGCAACAGTGACTTGGTCCAAGCGTTATATTTTAGTCGGTATGTAAAATTATACCGACAATTTCAAAATGAGAAAATTAAGAGGGGAGGATGTGTTGTTCTGGTAACCCATTTTTTAAATGAAACGTTACTTTCATCTTTCCAAATTGTCATTGGTGAATTCTGAATGTTTGGTTATATTTCTATCCCTAAAATGTTAAATGTAAAATATACCTTATGTATTTTTTTTTTTTTTTTTTTTTTTTTTTTTTTTTTTTTAACAAAAATATTCCTTTATTGTGAAACAATTTTCATTTTTAAAACCTTTCCCACGTGATGACATCGACATTAATTTCAAGTAGCCGTAGTTATGTTGAAAGAACCTTTACAAAAATGAATGAAAGAGGGGGAAAAACCAAGAAGCACGCAACCTTTGGTTTTAACCCATTTGTACTCTAATCATTTAGAGCCAAATACGTCCCATTTTGTGCGTTTGGTTGCGCGTATGCTACGCTGCAGCACAGTAAAAGCACATAGTATAAAAGAAAAAATTCAAGTGCTTTGGAATTCATACAATTTGACACGAAGTCCCCTTAATGTTTACAAAACACACATTATATTTTCCTTTAATACGTATTTTAATTTCATTAATTTAAACGAGAATAATTCGTGTAGAGTGTGCCAACATTTCAAAATCATGAGTTGAAAAACTCTGACTCCGCGAGTTTAAATATCAGAGCCAAACATAGAGTAGCGCGGCATGCTGTCATGCGCGATACGCGCATTGGCGCCTACAAACCTAAGTGGATACTTCACGCGTTGCGCAATGCTTGAAGTATCCACTTAGGTTTGTAGGCGCGAATGCGCGTCTCATGCTGGCCGGCCGCCCGCTGCGCCACAGCGTGCCGTGGCGCGCGGTACATCAAACAGCTGTTTCACAGCAGACGTGTTGCACAGTATCATACGAAATTGAAGACGCTCCAACACATTAAGAATATTAGGAATCCTTTAAGAGTTCGGAGCTTTCCTCGCAAAATAAATCAAGATACTACGGTACAAAAAGAGAGAGAGAGAGTGTGGTAGTCCAAAAAATCACTCAGATCCAGCATTCGTATTTAATAACGTTGAGCATAATTTTTGAATTTCATTAGAGAAAGAAAAATCATCAGAGCCGTTATGACAAAATGATCTGAGCTGCTAAAGTGTATGCGTTCAGATGAGAAATGCCGCCATAATACGTCACAAGGCTGTAAATTTACTCACTTAGGTTTTCTCCGCTTTTTAGAATCAACATCATGGATATAATTGCAGATAGGTTTTTCAAAATTACCTGTCTGTCTTTTTTTTTTTATCTAATTCTTATGGCAGTCAGTTCGGAAGTAATAGTTCATTTTTAGGAAAACTGAAATTCATTTCATGAAAAGTGAGCAGTAAGTACCTTACATTCAATGTAAAACAATTCAGTGAATGTTGTGTAAAAATGCAATCCTTTCCGACCTGGAAGAAAAAGGAAATATAAAATTTCCATAACTCATAAACAATGACAGAGTTATTTTAAATTGAACGAAATGAATTCAATTTTGAATAGGTGTTCAAATTTTCATAACTAACAAATTATTTAGTTACCATAAATGGTTCTATTTCCTGAGCGCTCGTTACTTGGATTCACGGTTCAATACGTTCACAAATATTTAACTTTCGACCTGCCTATTTTTCCCAGAAAATCCGGAGGCTCTCAAGTTGAACTTCTGGACTCCTCCGGAAAACTCAACTCAATCTACTTCAAGGAAAAAACACCACGAAAATCCACGGAAGAAAGGGGTAAAAAGTGTATCATTAAAATTTCATCCATCCAAACTTTAAATTAACTTCCTTTTGAGGCGTCTCGAGATCCGCAGCTGAAATCTTAGTAAATCGGGAGAGATATTTTGTCCGCCGTTGCCTCTGTTCAGTCGGTTTTGTTTCCTTTTTTTTAATTCGTTGAATTCCTCTAACTCGTTTAAAATTCCACTGAAAATCCATGTCATCACAACACCGGAAAGATCCGCAGTTTTTCTTTCTTTTTCCCCTCAATCACGGTGATTCTTAGTCAATAATTTAAAATAAAAAATCCCACGAATTGGAAACAACTGCCCCACTTGTACTAGACCGTAAAGTAAGCGGAAATAAACCGTTGAATAACCGTTGAATAACCGTTGAAATAACCATTTTAAAACGTTGGCATCAGGCAACGCGGAGAAGATGTCAAGTCGTCGAATCCTCCGGAAAGTTGATAAAACGTCGGGAAAACTCGTTTCCTCCCACGATTTTTTTGCATTTGCTCATATTTTTGCGAAGAGTTTAGCATCCGTGCGTTCTCTGGGTTTGACAGGAAGCTTGTCAAAAGGTTATCTTTAGAAATATCGAAACGGATATAAAACAATTCTCATCCCCTCCTCCGTCTTTCCAGTCGCTACTTTTAAATTTGATTCCTTCCCTGTTTCCGGCATCTCTAATTTTCGCGGAAATTTGAATATTGTCAACGGTTTGCAGTCCGGAATTCTCTGCAGTCATGATAAGATGTATCCTTCCTAATATTTGTATTCGTCGAGGTATTTTTTCTCGCTCTCTTTCTCTCTCTATTTTGACGAAAAATCATCCATTTTAACGTATTTTGAACATCGCATCGTAGATGCACTGCTTTAGCACAAAGAACATTATTTAGAGATAAGGTTAAATTACAAAAGTCGAGGTGTTATACTTTCACGAATAATATTTCACCAGAGGTCTTTTAGCCGTTAGCCTCACCATCAGCGTCTAAATACAACCGCAAGTTTTATAATTATTAAGAATAATAATCGTTAATTATTTATATTTCTTACCTATCAATTTAAAAATGAAGTGAAA